CAAATTAGATGATCCATGATTTCTTTCTTACTACGTTTTGGTTCTTTATTTGCACAACGAACACATGGACAGAGAAAAAGCGTAGGAAGACTTTTTTCAGCATTACTTTCAGCAAACTGTAGAAATTCCATCACTCCATGTTCGTACTCATCACTTAATCGATTAGATCTCATCCAACTACGATCCATAACTATGTTCACACGGAGGAAGGTCTGACGAACGGTGTGCCCGCGGCTGCGCTACTTCACGGAGATTCCGAGATTGCAAGTTGCGCTGCTTCGCGGAGAAAGAAAAATAGAATTAAATTTCAATGGCAAGGTGATAACTCTATTAAGTTTGATAGGTTAAAGATAAACTGTGTGTTTCTGAGAGGACCATTAACGCTTTTTTCGGAGGTTTCTAAATAGACTATTTCTCTAATGAAAAAGAATGACTAATTATACACAACATGTACTATATTCTTAACTTTATACAAAATATATAATTTATAACTAATTAGACTTAATTAACCTCTCTAATAATAATAAACTGTTTAGTAATTAAAAAACATATATGAACAAAGTAATGGATTCATAGTATAATCTTCTAATTATTTTTCTATGTACTTCTAATTTTTTATAATGAATCTCAGTAACAAACAAAGAAACAAGAATATCTTAAAAACTTTTTTGTATATCTAACTCTTAGAAACTAAAACACCAATGTTTGTCTTTGGAATACAAAAGTTGCTTGACATTGAGATATCAACTTACCCATGACCCTCTTCAACCTAGAAGCCAACATCTTGGAAATAATTCTATATAAACTTTCAACCAATTCCTAGATATACAATGAAGTTGAACAAAATAGAAAGTTTCGTACCGGAATCGTAGTTGGACGGTGGAGGATGTTTCGAAGATGGCAAACGGACGGCGAACAGACGGTGAAACATCCGGCGAAGGATGTCTTCGTGTAGCCGGCAGCGAGGAGACGTGAAACGGGGGCGTGAAACGGCAGCGAGGAGACGTGAAACGGCGGCGTAGGCGAGAGAAGTTGAACAGTGACAAAATAATCTGCATTTAGGGGTTAGTTGAACATTATATATATATATATATATATATATATATATATATATATATATATATATATATATATATATATATATATATATATATATATATATATATATATATATATATATATATATATATATATATATATATATATATATATATATATATATATATATATATATATATATATATATATATATATATATATATATATATATATATATATATATATATATATATATATATATATATATATATATATATATATATATATATATATGTTTTTACATCGGTGCAACCCTCGGCCCGATGTAAGGGTTTGGGCGGTTGATGTTTTTACATCAGTTTTTAGATTGGCCGGATGCAAGGTTCTGGGCTGATGTTTTTTACATCGGTTTGCAGAAGGCCCGATGTAAGGTAGTTTTTTACATCGGTTTAAAGAATGGCCCGATGCAAGGTTCGAGCTTTGATGTTTTTTTACATCGGTTTTCAGTATGCCCCGATGTAAGGGTTTTAATATATTTTTATATTACCAATCTTCCGTGGACTTTTTACATCGGTTTTTAGTATGCCCGATGTAATATCTTGCTAGTTTTTTATTTACAATTCTGCCACCTTATTTCTTATTTACAAAAATGTCACCGTGTTTTTTTCACGAAACCTTTTACATCGGTGGATTACATGGCCCGATGTAATAGATAGCGAAAAATATTTTTTTTCATATTATCTATATCATTGCAAATAAATATCTGATGTAAAATGTTTTTAATTTTATTTTTTACATCATATGTTTTGATACCTGATGTAAAAACCTTTTCTCAAATGTCATTTTTTTAGTAGTGTAACTCCTGGTTCGATCCAATAATCTGTCCAAGCCTGGATAGTTTCCCCATTGCCAACACACCAGTTACCAATGTTACACATCATATGATCAGTCTTGACTATATCCCTCCAAAGTTTAGAGTAAGAACTCTTGAAGCTGTGATTATTAATATTTGAAACCCTGTATTTGTTTCTTAAGACATTACACCAAAGCTCCTCCTTGTTGTTGTGCAACTTCCAAACTAACTTCATGAAACATGCTCTATTGAAAATATCAAGTTTCCTTAGTCCTAGGCCTCCTTCCTCCTTCGGATTAGTTATAGTGTCTTAACTAACCACATAAATCTGCTTCTTGTCACTAGTATCACCCCTTATAAAATTCCTCTTCATGCGCTGGATATCTTCAACACAAATTTTAAGCAAAATATTTGTCATCATAGGATAAATCTGAACCGCTTCCGTCACACTCTTAGTCAATGTTAATCTACCAGCAAAATACAAATTTTTAGCCTTCCAATTGGATAATTTTGCTGAGATCTGCTCTATCAGACATTGATATTCTTGTCTTCGAAGGCTTTTTCCACTAATGGAGACACCAAGATACTTCCCCATGTCTGGTTTTTCATGAAAGCATGATGCCTGAATCAACTTATTTCTTACCCCTTTTTGCACATTATTTGTATTTATTCCCTTTTTGGCCCAACATATTACCAAATTTATGAAGAATCCACATCACATACTCTATATGGGCTTCAGTAGCTTCTCCTATCAGTAAGAGATCATCAATAAACATTATATGAGACAACCAAGGCCCCTCTTTACCAAAACGCAACATCTTACAATCCATGTTATGCATGGCCTCCAGAATAAGATGAGATAAATTCTCCATGCACAACACAAAGAGATAAGGAGAAATATGATCTCCTTGTCTAATTTCTCTTTGCAGTCTAAAATAATTACTCCTGACACCATTCCACTTAACATTGGTTTCAACACTTGAAACCGCATGCAAAATGTTGTTGATCATATTCTCAGGAAGCTGTATTTCAACGAGAACTCTCCAAATGCACTCCCAGCTAATCTTATCATATGCTTTGGATAAGTCTACTTTAATCATAAAGTATCATTTTCTTCCCTTTCATACGATTCATCGAATGCATAACTTTTTTAGAAATAATAATGTTCTCATGAATATCTCTTCTCGGGGTGAAACCTGTTTGATACAGATAGATCCATTTCGAGATACAAATTTTGAGACTGTTAACTAGAATCTTGCTTAACACTTTATACACCGCATTGCACAACCAGATGGGACGAAGTTGGGAGACTATTTGGGGTTGATTCACCTTAGAAATAAGGCATATGTTAGTTTGGTTAATATGCATTAGTTTGGTAGAAACCTGTCGGAACTCCGTCCTATCCAAGATCCTTCCAAGAGCTCATAGAAAAAACAACTTTTTTATTTGTGTAGCCTCTAAGGGTTTGGAAATACTCGCAACATCCGTTTCCTCCATCTTAGGAAAATTACAACTAGTAACGTGTCACTCAAATTTGTTGTTATTAAGTTTAAACATCTCATAATAATATTCATTCACCATACACTTGAGAGTTGTCTCATCCTCAACCCACTCCCCTTGCTCATTTTGCAGGCTAACGATCTAATTGCGATTTCTTTTATTGATGGCCTTCATATGATAATATTTGGTGTTCCGATGTCCATCCTCCAAACATTTGGCTCTAGACCTTGGAACCACGTGACCTCTTCTTCTTTCAAAATGTCACTAAGTTCTTTGTGAAACTTATTCTCCATCTTAATGATGCCAACATGGTGTCTTTTGCTTTGGATGCTAGTTTGAAATCCTTGTAATCTTTCCATAATTCTTTTCTTATTGTTTATGACTTGATTAAAAGTATACAAGTTCCAGTCTTTAACTTTATCTCTGATTTTAGCCAAATTATCCTCCAAATGAAGCTCTTCCTTCCAAACCGTCTCGATGAAATCACGATCATTAATATTAAGCATTCATATTAACCTGGTAGTAAGGCATGATAAGAATCGGATGATGATCTAAAAACTCAACACTAGCAAGAACTTTCACTTGTGCATCAGGGAATCTAAGTCTCCACTCTTCATTGCCGAAAGCACGATGGAGCTTTTCATAAGTTCTATGTCCTCCAAGATACAGAGGACCACAACATGTAAACCCAGGCCTTGTTGATCCAAGGTCAATGAGATTATAATTGTTAATGCGATCTCTAACCAAATTGTATCTTCTAACAGTCACATGCTACCAGCCATGGTAAATTGTATCTTCTAACAGTCACATGCTACCAGCCATGGTTGATTCATCAAGTCTGATATCCTCTTCTAGTCATCCCAAAATACATACCTCCTATCCTCACTAGTGCTAGCATACACTGATGTAAGAAAACATTCACTATTACCTACTTCTTTGATACTAACATGCAAGAATTGTGAGCTTTTCGTTATCATGTTTATGCTGATGGAACAACTTCTCCAGGCTATAACAATCCCCCCGCATAACCGCAAGCTCTTATCAAATTCATCACTTAGTATCACTTGGTTTTCATATTTTCAAGAATTCAATATCACAATGATATCTTGTTAATTTTATGTCCTAAATTTTATGTCATCTTATTGACGATAATATTGATGTCTAAACATTAAAGAAGATGAAATCAATTATCAAAGTTTGTAGTATTGACATGCTACAACTAATAACTACAACTCCTGTTTTCTTGATAGTCTAAAGATAAATATAAAATTCAAGTAACATCTTCTCAAATATCAGAGGACTATAAAACAAATTTCAAGCATTAATGAGTTAATATGGAAATTCAGAGTGACGGAATGTGAAAATTTACATGAATAAAAGTAACAAAGTGATACTTGAATTATAGAGAAACCAACAATACTTCACCATAGTCCAGCGGTTTTTCCATAAAACCTTACACAAGTTCTTCATCTTTTTTACTTTCTTGGTCACCAACAGTTATTCACATCCACCTATAATTTTGAGCAACCAGTGAATATCGATATAAAGTTTCAAGACTAGTCAAGATTAAGTTATTTGATGATGCGGGAATAGTTTTCTCTTTACCTTACTAAAACAAAAAATGTGGCGGAACAATATCTCTTTTAACTGTTTCTGAGACAAGAACATCCGCATCCAGTTTATAACAAAATTTCAAATCGATCTCCTCAAGTTGTGTGCAGTTTTGAACCACATGCATCACTCCCTTTTCTGTGACATGTTTACAACATCTAAGTGATAGATGCAAAAGGCCAGAACAACTCTTGGAGATCTGATAGAGTGTTATATCATCAACAGGTGTGCCTGACAAGTTCAACACCTCCAACTGAGGAGTTACAAAGTTCATCCTAAGTAGCCACGCTTGACGACAATCGCTCAAATTCAAATGTTTAATCTTACAACATCTAGTTAAAACTTGAAAAATGCCTCTTTCAGAAATGCTATCGCAAGAACTTAAATCAAGAAGCTCCAAATTGGGAAAAATGGAAGCGAACAAAGAGATGTTTGCATCATTTATGGATGAATCGTAAGTCAAACATAGAGACTTGAGTTGAGCGTTCACATGAAAATCCTTAAAAGAATTAGAAGTCTGTACACTCTTTGTTCCAATGCCTTCCATTGTAATCTCAGAAAGTGAAGAACAGTTCCTAATGAGTGCAAACAAGGCTGATTTAGTGAGGTTCCAGCAATCACTGAGTCTTATAGACACCAAAGCACCAAGAAACAAAGATAACTGAGCAATATGATGGTCATTTAAGAAATCATTTCGATGAAAACTCAAATGTTGTATCCCACTAGACTTGGATAACAAAAAGCATATTCCGTCGTAAGTGTATCCGGTGCAACTTCGGAGCACAAACTTGTTTAAAGGAAGACCTTCAGTTGCAATAGAAGAGAGAAAATCATCAGAGATTTGCAAGCCCAACAAATCAAGACAAGTCAAACCCTTCAAAGTGAGCAACGAATCAAGGAAATGTGAAATAACGTAGTTTTCATCGTCTGGATCAAAGTAGGAAATGGATAAAGATTTCAATGTTGGTCTGTTGCGGAGAGAAGAAGCAACGGCTGCATCGAGATGGTAAAAGGAGAGGTGAAGGGAATTGAGGTTGGAGAATCTATGGAAGAGACGGCGGAGGAAAGAAGGTGTTGGATCAGAAATAGTGATGGATAATATGAGACGGCTGATGAGCGAGAGGAAAGGTTTAGAGACGAGGGAGAGAGTCTTGACATAGTGGATGAGGATGTCGTCGTCGTTGATGATGAGGAATGTGAAGATAAGCTCCCAGCAATCAACAGGTAAATTATAAACAGCTTCTGCAGCCGCCATATTTGTGAACAATATTTGACACAAACTAACAAGGTTACACTACTAGTAAGAAGATGAACAACAATAAATTCATAATCTTTTTCATTATTTTATTTTAATGCTAATCATCAACAATTATGACTGCAAATTTTGGATATGGTATGTAATTTAATACAATTCTGAGAGGTAATTATAGGCTATGGAATCAAGTTACCAAGTATTGTAACCGATCTCTTTTTAGTTTTTTTTTTTTTTTGGAATATTCCTCTGAAAATAAGTTTACTGCTTTTTGTCATAAAAATACACCAAACTTATTTATCAACTTATGATTTTCTTAGACTCATAAGCTTCCTAGCCAGCAATATTCATTCTACAATCCTTATCCATAATGTGCTAGCCTCAGCAAAACAAAAAATACTTCAAATTATTTTATTTAAATATGGGGTATCTTAATTTATTTTTTTATTTTTATTTTATGTTGATTTTTTATTTAATTATTCTCAAAAACATCTGTCAACTAAAATGGTTTGTTAGTTTTTGTCAAAAACAAAAAGCTTTAATTGTATAATTTTTAATCTTATATGGGTCAAAGTATTGAAAAGAATTAAAATCTCTTGATAGAGTATAATAATAATAAATGTTTATATAGTAATTTCTCACCTTAAAAGTCAGTTATGGTTCAAATTTTTTAATTCTATTATAGTATAAGAGTCTATAATTAGAATTGTGCACCAAAAAATTAAGGATTAAATGCACAATTCTCTTTATTACATATGTGAGATTTGGTTTATCCTTTTTTAATTTATTTTTTAAGAATATTCCTCTAAAATTTTAAAATACCGACTCTTTTGCTCTTTAAATGTAAAAATTAATCTCTATTTTTTTATTTATCTCCTGATTTTTACACGTTCGGTTAGACATGATGAATTTAATTTTCCAATAATTATTTCAACTATTAGAATTTAATATGTATTTATCATTTTTAACAACAATTAACTATGACTCTTGATATGAAATAAAAAATCAGTCACATTTTACCTTTACTATAATAAATTCAAATTTTAATTATTGCATTATTGTTTAATTTCTAAACATAAATTTATTTAAATAATTATTTTTTTAGTTTTTCAAAATTTTAATACTCTTTACTAAAAATATATCAATTTTGATTATAAAATAATTATTTTTTATATATAATATTCTTTTTAAGAAAAGCTTTTATATATATATATATATATATATATATATATATACATACATATATATATATATATATATATATATATATATATATATATATATATATATATATATATATATATATATATATATATATATATATATATATATATATATATATATATATTAAAAATAATAAGCTTAGACGGTTAAAAATATCTCATCTTCTTTTCATTTGTCTTATATATAATATATTTTATCAAACCTCGACCAAGATTGTTCCTATCACACGACCTCACTATCAGTGGAAGCACCCACGACGAGCAGAAGCACCTCACGAGCATCCTCCTCTTATATATAATATTCTTTTTAAGAAAAGCTTTTATATATATATATATATATATATATATATATACATACATATATATATATATATATATATATATATATATATATATATATATATATATATATATATATATATATATATATATATATATATTAAAAATAATAAGCTTAGACGGTTAAAAATATCTCATCTTCTTTTCATTTGTCTTATATATAATATATTTTATCAAACCTCGACCAAGATTGTTCCTATCACACGACCTCACTATCAGTGGAAGCACCCACGACGAGCAGAAGCACCTCACGAGCATCCTCCTCGTACGACTGACTATCAACGTCTCTGAGTATCACGGAATCTTCGTGACCCCGGAAAGATCGCATCCATATCTTTCTGATCTTGTGGAGGAAGTCATCCAGGTTGGGGACCACGTACGGGTCCCCACTACTCACATAGAACCTAGCAGTCTCCATGTTGGGCCTGCTTGACCAGCCCAATGAAGTGACCTTGGTCCAGCGCTGGGGGCTATAAATACCCTCTCTTTCGAAAGGTTCAGGTATTGAACACTTCTTACTCACTTGCTTGCTTGCTTATTCTGGAACTTACTTTGGCATCAGACTGTCTTGCAGGTACCCCCCACCTCACTCTCAAATTTTGTTCGGAGCAAGCTGTGACGGTCTATTCTGGTCAAGTACGATCAATGACGATGTCTATGGGAAACTTGCTTCCCCGTTTTCCATTCACACAAGACAAAAGCTAATCACACTCAATTCTGAATATCATGGTTGATCAAACGACAAAAAACAATCTGAATGTCCGTCTCGTCGACACCAACAACAACGTCGCCGACACTAACGTCAGCATCAACATCGCTGGTCCTATTGGCCCCACCATCGACGTGCTCGGCCCATTAGAATATAGATACGGAGCAACCGCCTCATCGTCATTGTTGTCCCGACGACTCGAAGACGACCAACCTCCTCCTCAGAACTACCAACCAAACCATTTCCAGGAAGTCCCCGTTCCCGCGGGTGTTGATGCCACGACAAGAGCATTGTTCACGGTAATAAACCAAACAAACTTCTTGATCTTTTCCCATGGGGAGAGATTAAGGGTGCTCGAAGATTCTCGGAGATCCCCCAGAAGATATATGAGGCCTCATTCTCCTTCTCCTCGTCAGATAGAGGAACATCCCCAATCTCCCCGCAGAGACGCAGTCGGGACGTCTCTCGAAGCCCCTCTCCTCGACCAATCGGGTGCCGCCCCACGTTGGAGAGGGACTAGCCCATAGATACGGGGAGACGCGATCACATCCCCCCGCGTCAAGAGCAAAGGCCCCCTGAAAACAGGAACAGTGGAAATAACGAACGACCACATCACCCGAGGAACCCTCTGCACGACAAGGGTCCCCATCATAATTTCCACTACAACAGATCTCCTTCTCGCTCGCTAAAAAGGAGTGTCGAAGATGACCCCCGCGGTCCCTTGTCATAAGCTATTATGGAGGCACCCATCCCCCGGGCATGGAGGAACCTCCCCATCTGAAGGAGTACGACGGTGTTGCCGACCCAGTCGACCATATCAACGGGTTCGAGGCAATGCTGCATTATCATAACGTTTGGGGACCAATCAATTGTCGGTTGTTCCCCACGACCTTGAGGAAAGCTGCGATGGATTGGTACAAGAGCCTCGCCCCAAGGTCAATCACCTCTTGGAGAAATTTAAAAAAAACAGTTCATCAGTTTGTTTACTACTTCATGTCGACATCCAAAGACTGAAGCAGCCCTCAAGGCTATCATCCAGAGACATGACGAGACCCTCACAGAATTTATTGATCAATTCAACCACGAGGCCATCCAGGTCCCCTGCACCCGATCATATGAAGAGATACCTGCTCGAGATGAGACTCCTCCCGGGCACAGATTCAGAAAAGCCATTGGCATCGAACCTCCGCGGACATTCGATGCCCTCCTCGAGAAAGCCATAGCCTATATAGACTATGAGGAGAGGGAAGCGACAACAGAGCCTAGGACCCCCAGGAATCGTGGATCAACCAGAAATTCGCGACAACAAGACACCGACCCTCCCCGACGATCTAGTGAGAAGAGGAGGGATGACAAACCACGAGATCCTCGCGAGCAAAGAGGATCCTCGGGGAGGTTTACCGAGTACACTCCGCTGACGGCTTCCCGTGAGTGCATCTTGGAGGAGTGCGCTAACACTGATTTCAAGGACAGCAGCGTCAAGCATCTTCGCTCTGCTCCTGCTAAGCTCGGGGCTGATCGGAGAAAATACTGCCAATATCATCAAAGTCATGGACACTTGACTGAAGATTGTGTCCATCTCAAGGATGGTATTGAGACCATCATCAAAGGGGGAAGAATCGGGCAATATCGGCGCGGCGACGCCTCTCGTCGAGATGCCCGCGACACAAAGGAGATTGAAGAGGATGCCCGACCATTAGGCGAGACGGTCCCCATCCAAAAAGCATTCTCTGTTACAAGACCGAATGAATTCTATGTCCTCGGCGATATCGAAGAGCCTCTGTCCATGCACATCAGGTGGGAAAGCTTCCCCTCTGTCATGGTAAAAAATGGTGGGGGATTCAATGATATAACCATAAAATGGTGGGGAATTTCTCGGGGGGGGGGGGGGGCAAACTCAGCCATCCCTCTTCTGGTTAGGGCGAGAATGGATAACTTTAACGTTCATATCATTTTGGTCGACGAAGGGAGTTCTGTCGATGTGATGTATAGCCAGCTCTTCCGAACCCTTCAGCTCGACGACTCTCACCTGTCACCTTACATGGGGTCCGACCTGCAGGACTTTAACAACTCGACCTCCAAACCATGAGGGTATGTGGAACTCTTCATCACCTTCGGCAAGGATACCTCCACCAAGAAAGTCAAGGTGTGCTTCCTGGTCATCGACTTCCCGTCTCTCTATAATTGTATCCTAGGGAGACCGACACTGGTAGAGTTGACTGTTGTTCCCTCCACCGTCCATCTGAAGATGAAGTTCTACACAAGGAGGGGACGCGTTGCTACCATCCAGGGAAACCTAGAAGTTTCCCAAAGATGCTTCAACGCGGCGGCCAAGGGAAAAAGCACGGTCGACACTAGAGCACGACCCGCCAAGAGAACTGCTACAACACGACCAGAGCTACAGCAACCAGAGTAACTGCCCGTCAAGGAGGAAGAATAGAGAGCTCCTCCAAAGGACGACTCAATTTCATTGGACACCCGCTTCGACCAAGATGAAGCACCCAACAGTGAGCATGGACTCCTCCGACTAATTACGAATGGATACTTTGAGCTCGTCCCTCTCGGTGAAGACCCAAACAAAGGGGTGAAGATCGGCACCGGACTCCCCGACCTGGCGAGGAAGCAGATCAAGGCTTGTTTGAGGGAAAACGCAGATCTGTTCGCGTGGAGCGCCGCAGAGATGCCTGGACTCGACCCTGAGGTCTCCTGTCACCACTTGGCCATCCATCCAT